GCAACCGCGAGGAGTGGATCTGTATGCTAGTGTGCTGCGGAAAGATGAAAGGAAAGACTTTCATGGCTGCTGCAGACCACATCGTATCAGCAACTCACCTGTTGAACCTAGAGAAGCACGGTACCGCAACCAAAGCCGCGCTCCCCCCGGGTGATCTGCAGGTGATCAACTGCTCCGTTACAGAATACTTGCGTCCTGGTGTTGGGCTCACCGTTTCACGGACATTAACAGCCACATCCTCATACTGCACAAGCACATACACGGTTCAACCTTCTGACAATTGCACTTCCATCGCCGACCTTTTCTTTGGTGGTTCTCTGAAAGAACTAGACGCACTCAATCCTGGCTTGTCGTGCAGCCGCCTCTTCATATCGCAACAGATCTGCCTTAAAATGGATTCATCATCATCTACCACATCGGCTCCACAGTGCGGACAGAGTGTTGCAGTGGTCATGGGTGATACGTGCGCTTCTGTCTCTATCAAATATATGATCAGCTCTACGACCTTCAGCTCGTAAGTTTTGACCACAAAATTTCACCTTCGATTTGTTTTGTGTATTTGTTTGTTGTTCTCTTCTGGTCTCATTTCCTTGTTCTTTCTCTGTTGCTGCTGTTGTCTACCTCTCTGAGCTCCTTTGCACTTATAAGTACTACAAGTGTTTTCATCCTTGTATGTCTCCGTTCTGCCTCACTACCTCCCATGCAGGCTTAATCCAGGTCTTAACTGCGACAGCCCACTGCTGGTTGGATCGTATGTCTGTGTGGCACCAAAATCATCAGATGTAAGCATCACTTCATACTTTCATTTCATTTGCTCAGAATTTATCTGCCCATCTCTGGATCAGTGGCATGTTTGCTGTCTACTCGCACTTCCTCCCCTTCTCATTCTATTTTCCACTGGCCCCGTTTTACTCCCTCATCGTCTTGTTTTCCTTCGTTCTCGTCTCTGTCTGCCTTCCCCATCCACACCTCCCATCCATATCCCCTGTGCCTGTGCCTGTCCGCAGACCACCATCAACTGCACGGGGTGGTACCGGGTGATGCAGGGCGACATGATGGTCCCATACCACCCTTTATTGAGCCTATATGGTCCCGTACTACCCTATATTTGGCCTAGATGGTCCCATACCACCCTTTATTGAGCCTATATGGTCCCGTACTACCCTATATTTGGCCTAGATGGTCCCATACCACCCTTTATTGAGCCTATATGGTCCCGTACTACCCTATATTTGGCCTAGATGGTCCCATACCACCCTTTATTGAGCCTATATGGTCCCGTACTACCCTATATTTGGCCTAGATGGTCCCATACCACCCTTTATTGAGCCTATATGGTCCCGTACTACCCTATATTTGGCCGAGATGGTCCCATACCACCCTTTATTGAGCCTATATGGTCCCGTACTACCCTATATTTGGCCGAGATGGTCCCATACCACCCTTTATTGAGCCTATATGGTCCCGTACTACCCTATATTTGGCCTAGATGGTCCCACACCACCCTTTATTGAGCCTATATGGTCCCGTACTACCCTATATTTGGCCGAGATGGTCCCATACCACCCTTTATTGAGCCTATATGGTCCCGTACTACCCTATATTTGGCCGAGATGGTCCCATACCACCCTTTATTGAGCCTATATGGTCCCGTACTACCCTATATTTGGCCTAGATGGTCCCATACCACCCTTTATTGAGCCTATATGGTCCCGTACTACCCTATATTTGGCCTAGATGGTCCCATACCACCCTTTATTGAGCCTATATGGTCCCGTACTACCCTATATTTGGCCTAGATGGTCCCATACCACCCTTTATTGAGCCTATATGGTCCCGTACTACCCTATATTTGGCCTAGATGGTCCCATACCACCCTTTATTGAGCCTATATGGTCCCGTACTACCCTATATTTGGCCTAGATGGTCCCATACCACCCTTTATTGAGCCTATATGGTCCCGTACTACCCTATATTTGGCCTAGATGGTCCCATACCACCCTTTATTGAGCCTATATGGTCCCGTACTACCCTATATTTGGCCTAGATGGTCCCATACCACCCTTTATTGAGCCTATATGGTCCCGTACTACCCTATATTTGGCCTAGATGGTCCCATACCACCCTTTATTGAGCCTATATGGTCCCGTACTACCCTATATTTGGCCTAGATGGTCCCATACCACCCTTTATTGAGCCTATATGGTCCCGTACTACCCTATATTTGGCCTAGATGGTCCCATACCACCCTTTATTGAGCCTATATGGTCCCGTACTACCCTATATTTGGCCGAGATGGTCCCATACCACCCTTTATTGAGCCTATATGGTCCCGTACTACCCTATATTTGGCCTAGATGGTCCCATACCACCCTTTATTGAGCCTATATGGTCCCGTACTACCCTATATTTGGCCTAGATGGTCCCATACCACCCTTTATTGAGCCTATATGGTCCCGTACTACCCTATATTTGGCCGAGATGGTCCCATACCACCCTTTATTGAGCCTATATGGTCCCGTACTACCCTATATTTGGCCGAGATGGTCCCATACCACCCTTTATTGAGCCTATATGGTCCCGTACTACCCTATATTTGGCCGAGATGGTCCCATACCACCCTTTATTGAGCCTATATGGTCCCGTACTACCCTATATTTGGCCGAGATGGTCCCATACCACCCTTTATTGAGCCTATATGGTCCCGTACTACCCTATATTTGGCCTAGATGGTCCCATACCACCCTTTATTGAGCCTATATGGTCCCGTACTACCCTATATTTGGCCTAGATGGTCCCATACCACCCTTTATTGAGCCTATATGGTCCCGTACTACCCTATATTTGGCCTAGATGGTCCCATACCACCCTTTATTGAGCCTATATGGTCCCGTACTACCCTATATTTGGCCTAGATGGTCCCATACCACCCTTTATTGAGCCTATATGGTCCCGTACTACCCTATATTTGGCCTAGATGGTCCCATACCACCCTTTATTGAGCCTATATGGTCCCGTACTACCCTATATTTGGCCTAGATGGTCCCATACCACCCTTTATTGAGCCTATATGGTCCCGTACTACCCTATATTTGGCCTAGATGGTCCCATACCACCCTTTATTGAGCCTATATGGTCCCGTACTACCCTATATTTGGCCTAGATGGTCCCATACCACCCTTTATTGAGCCTATATGGTCCCGTACTACCCTATATTTGGCCTAGATGGTCCCATACCACCCTTTGTTGAGCCTATATGGTCCCGTACTACCCTATATTTGGCCTAGATGGTCCCATACCACCCTTTGTTGAGCCTATATGGTCCCGTACTACCCTATATTTGGCCTAGATGGTCCCATACCACCCTTTGTTGAGCCTATATGGTCCCGTACTACCCTATATTTGGCCTAGATGGTCCCATACCACCCTTTATTGAGCCTATATGGTCCCGTACTACCCTATATTTGGCCTAGATGGTCCCATACCACCCTTTATTGAGCCTATATGGTCCCGTACTACCCTATATTTGGCCTAGATGGTCCCATACCACCCTTTATTGAGCCTATATGGTCCCGTACTACCCTATATTTGGCCTAGATGGTCCCATACCACCCTTTATTGAGCCTATATGGTCCCGTACTACCCTATATTTGGCCTAGATGGTCCCATACCACCCTTTATTGAGCCTATATGGTCCCGTACTACCCTATATTTGGCCTAGATGGTCCCATACCACCCTTTATTGAGCCTATATGGTCCCGTACTACCCTATATTTGGCCTAGATGGTCCCATACCACCCTTTATTGAGCCTATATGGTCCCGTACTACCCTATATTTGGCCTAGATGGTCCCATACCACCCTTTATTGAGCCTATATGGTCCCGTACTACCCTATATTTGGCCTAGATGGTCCCATACCACCCTTTATTGAGCCTATATGGTCCCGTACTACCCTATATTTGGCCTAGATGGTCCCATACCACCCTTTATTGAGCCTATATGGTCCCGTACTACCCTATATTTGGCCTAGATGGTCCCATACCACCCTTTATTGAGCCTATATGGTCCCGTACTACCCTATATTTGGCCTAGATGGTCCCATACCACCCTTTATTGAGCCTATATGGTCCCGTACTACCCTATATTTGGCCTAGATGGTCCCATACCACCCTTTATTGAGCCTATATGGTCCCGTACTACCCTATATTTGGCCTAGATGGTCCCATACCACCCTTTATTGAGCCTATATGGTCCCGTACTACCCTATATTTGGCCTAGATGGTCCCATACCACCCTTTATTGAGCCTATATGGTCCCGTACTACCCTATATTTGGCCTAGATGGTCCCATACCACCCTTTATTGAGCCTATATGGTCCCGTACTACCCTATATTTGGCCTAGATGGTCCCATACCACCCTTTATTGAGCCTATATGGTCCCGTACTACCCTATATTTGGCCTAGATGGTCCCATACCACCCTTTATTGAGCCTATATGGTCCCGTACTACCCTATATTTGGCCTAGATGGTCCCATACCACCCTTTATTGAGCCTATATGGTCCCGTACTACCCTATATTTGGCCTAGATGGTCCCATACCACCCTTTATTGAGCCTATATGGTCCCGTACTACCCTATATTTGGCCTAGATGGTCCCATACCACCCTTTATTGAGCCTATATGGTCCCGTACTACCCTATATTTGGCCTATTTGTGATTGACCCACACGCCCCACACTCCTTGCGCCCCACACTCCTTGCGCCCCATACCTCTCCATTCCGCTCAAAACCACCAGATGGCCCAGTTTACCCAATAGTACCCCATACTTTCCCATTCCGCCCCATACCACCCAATAGCACCCCATACTACCCCATTCCGTCCCATTCCACACTTCTACCACCCCATTCCGTCCCATACCACACTTCTACCACCCCATTCCGTCCCATACCACACTTCTACCACCCCATTCCACCCCAAACCATCTGATAGTGCCCCATACTACTCCATTTGGTCCCATACCATCCAATCATGCCCAATACCACACCATACCTTCCCACAACACCCCATACCATCCCACATCACCCCATACCATCCCACACCACCCCATACCATCCCACACCACCCCATACCATCCCACACCACCCCATACCATCCCACACCACCCCATACCATCCTCCACCACCCCATACCATCCCACACCACCCCATACCATCCCACACCACCCCATACCATCCCACACCACCCCATGGATCCAAACCAACCGAAAGGGCCTCGAACCGCCCCATTCTGGCCTGTGCAACCTCAACACCCATATCCCCAACATCCAGCCATGGCATCCATTTCGTATACCTTTTCATGTTGAGGATACCCAACATCCATTTCCCTTGCTGCGCACCCCCTTCTCTTCCCCCTTAATCTTCCCCCTCTTCCCTTACCATACAGTGCCAGGCGCCCTACCTGGTGGTGGGTCAGCAGGTCTGCATCGACTCACCCATCCTCACCACCATGCAGCGAGCTCCCAACGTCTCCTACTCCATCCACACTATCCGTCCCAACGAAACCCTCTCCACCATCTCCTCCCTCTACCTCCCCCGCTGCACGCCCACCTCTGTTTCGCCCGAGTCCATCGCCCCTCTGGCACCCGGAACAAAGCTGATCATCCCTTGTATAGGCCGCATCGGTATGGTGGACTGTGGCTGCGCAGCCTCTATCCCAGTGTGTGGTTCCGACTTCATCACTTACCCGTCATACTGTGACGCTCTGTGCAACTTCGCACTTCCAGCTCTCCCTGATAGCTTCCGTACAGGGGCGTGCGGACCTGCATGTCAGGGCCGCATGGGCCTAGCCCCAGTTCCTAACTCCGGCTGCACCAATGCCATATGCCCGTACCCCATCTGGGCACCGGCAGAGAGTATAGACAGCGCAAAAGTGGTGGACACGAGCTCTGGTCCGTGCTGCAGTTACAGGGATAACACCTGCAAGCAGCAGTGACGCTCACTGCAACTGTACTGGGTGGAACTGTGGCTCAAAGGAACAGCAACTATAATGATTGCTACAGCAGGTGCATGTGCTGCCAGGCAACAGGCTGTGGTGGTGCCACGTGCAAGGCACCATCGGCATGCTGGAATGCAAGGCCTCAGAAGTGCATGATGGTGAACCACAATTATGTGTGGAACTGCACATGCTTCCCTGCTGGGAACCCCTTGCCCTAGAGCAAATTCTATCATATTCATATCCTTTTGAAATTTGTGCATTTGTGTCACTCAAATGTTGTGAAGTGCATGCATGATGCACTTCTTAGTTGTATCTTGCCTTGCACCATCAGGTTACCATTTTGTTCAGTGAGTAGATGGTAGCTGTGTAGAATATGTGCAATAGTACCGTAAATCAAACGGCCCCTCCCCCTTCCTTCGCTCCCTCTATCCTCCACATCCCTCTCTGCTTCTCTCCTCCCTTCCCTCTGTGCCCCTCCTGAATGAGCTCTTCGTTCCCTTTTATGCCCTTCTGTCAAAATCGGAAGTGTTGGTTCATTGATGGTGGTTGGGGTACAAGTAGCAAACCCTAACATACGTACCCCCTAAGACAAACCTCACTACAGGCTACCAACATTTGACACACCCCCATAGCCTAAGTGAGGGGTGTCTAGCAAAACCAAAAGAGTACGGTCATAAGACCAGTCACAAAGAAACAAAGCTCAGGGTGGATCACAACGTCACCACACACTCTGAGCACAAGCAACAATGGCCACAAGGCCAGTCCAAGAAATAACAGAGTTTTTTAGAAAGGGTACAAGCAAAACAAACAGTGAACTCAAGACTAAGTAAGCCGAAAACCAGTGTCAACAAGGCCTAACTGCACACAACACCTGTGGTGGTCACAAGGCGGAAGCGCCTTGGTGAAGATGTCTGCAGTGTTGGCCTCAGACTCCACAAACTCGAAGCGAGCCTGCCCACGTCTCTGCAACTCTCGCAGAAGGAAGTACCTGACGTTAATGTGCTTCACTCTGCTCTCCAGTCGTGGCTCTCGACAAAGGAGAATCGATGCCTTGTTGTCAGTGAACAAGGTCGGTGCAGAGCTCGGCCGCTCACCCAGGTCGGCGAGCAAGAACGTCAACCAACGCAGCTCCTGTGCCGCCATGGCACCAGCGTAGATCTCAGCCTCAGCTGTAGAGGTCGAGACCGAAGAGGAGCGCGTGGACCGCCAGGAAACAGCTCCAGAACCCAGACTGAAACAGTACCCCTGAGTAGACCTGTGAGTCTCAGCGTCGTCAGCGTAAGAAGAGTCACAGTGACCAGTAAGTACAACAGCCTGCTGCCCTCCAAGAACTAGCCCCACGCCTGATGTCGTCGCTAGGTACTTCGCCACCCTCACAGCTGCTGTCCAGTGAACAGGACGGTGTCTCCCTGGCGCAACAAAGCGCGCAAGGATGCTGAGAGGGAAAGCGAGGTCCGGGCGAGTACAAGTCATCAGGTACATGAGGCAACCCACAAGCTCTGCGTAGGGACCACTAGGCTCAAACGGCTCGTCAGGAAAGGGGCCAGTGAGTCTGTGGTCAACAGCAAGAGGTGTGCGCTGTACTGTGGAGTGCTGAAGCTCGAACCGCTGAAGGACCTGCTGCACCATGTGTGACTATGAGAGTGTAATGGTGCGAGCAGCTCTGTCCCTGGTGATCTGCAGCCCAAGGTAATGGCGCAGCTCACCAAGGTCAGTGCAGGTGTGTCTCTTCTGCAGTTCGGACTTCACGTCTGCCAAAGCAACCCTGTCAGCAGTGGCGAAAACTAGGTCGTCGACGTAGACCAGAACGAAGAACGGTGTGGAGCCACGGCGAACAAACAGCGACGGGTCGGCAGAAGACGGCTGGAACCCAAGGTCAGAGAGGGTAGAGCGGAGAGTGTCGTGCCACTCACGAGGGGCCTGGCGAAGACCGTAGACAGGTCGCCTCAGCCTCCACTGGGTCCCAGGAGGGAAAGTGCCAGTGAAGGCAGAGGGACGACGCAGCCAGACCTCCTCGTGTAGGCTGCCCTGAAGAAAAGCAGTGGAGAAGTCGAGAGAGTGTAACTCGTAGTCTCTCTGTGCTACTACGTGCAGTAACACCCGAAGAGTGGTCATCTTCGGGGTCGGCGCGAAGGTCTGAAAGAAGTCAACTCCCTCGCGCTGACTGAAACCTCTAGCAACGTAGCGCGCCTTGAAGACTGGAGGAGATCCTGGTGGCCGCTTCACCCTGTAGATCCACATGCCATCGACTACGTTCGTCCCAGGGGGAGGAACCTCATCGACGTAGGTGCCTGTGGATCTGTAGGAGGCCATCTCTGCGTCCATGGCAGCTCTCCACTGAGAGGCCCAAGGCCCTGACACTGCCTCAGCGTAAGTGCGAGGAGTCGGAATGTCAAGGGCGTCGGGGTCACCCTCAGGGGTGAGGAGCATGGCACAGAGATGAGGGGAAGCGGCCGCCAGGAACTCTAGCTCAAACTGCCTGTCCTCTAGGACGTCACAGCCAAGGGCAGACACACCCCCGACGGCCAGAGGACTGGTAGGAGGAGCAGCCACAAGAGTGGTGGCGTAGTCAAGGCGGCGAGTAGAGGCAAACTCAGTGACCGTGGCAGTAAGAGCGGAGACGGAGGACAAAGAGGCACGAGGGTGGGTAACAAGAGAGGCGAGAACACGAGAGAGAACAGGACGGTACGTGCGGTAGTAGTCAGTGATAGGGGTAGAGAGAGAAGCTGTGAGGGCCGACTCAGGAGGAGAAGGAAGCACAGGAGGAGCCGAACGAGACGGACTAGAACGTAACAAGACAGTACGAAGGTCTGTGAAAGGAACAGGGGACGAGGGACGAGCACGAGGAGAGCGACGAGTAGCCCAAGTACGAGACGGAGGAGGAGAGGACAAAGGCGGAGAACTGGGGAAAACAGCGGGGGAGGAGTCAGGAGGAGGAAACGTGGGACCGTAGACAGGAGGAGAGGCGGAGGAGGGAGGAGAAGGAGAGGGGAGACCAAGGGTCCGAAGACCCGAGACAGGAGGAGGAAGTGGCTGCTGCTGCTGCTGCTGCTGCGGCTGCTGCTGCTGCGGCTGCGGCTGCTGCTGGGACTGCTGCTCCTGCGGGTCCAGCTGCTGCTGCTGCTCCTGCGGCTCCAGCTGCTGCTGCTGCTCCTCCAGCCGCTGTAACTCCCTCTCCTCTCTCTCCAACGCCAGCTGCTCCTCACGGGCACGGCGAACACGAGCCTGGTGCCTAGTCGGGTAGGGGTGGGGGGGCGGAGTAGTGTCCGGAGCAGCGTTAGCTCCAGAGTCCACCCCCGAAGGACCAGGCGCACCACCCCCAGAGGCAGCACTAACACCAGCTCCAGACCCAGGCTCACCAGAACCCGAAAGAGGCGCACCCTCACCCCCAGACGGAGCACCCCCAGTGTCCGCGCGACCAGCACCAGCTCCCGGAAGACAAGAGTCCTCTGCACCCACCGGCTCAGCTCCAACTCCAGCACCCCCAGAACCAGAAACCGGTACAGGAACAGGCTCGGCACCAACCTCTCGAGAGCTAGCACCTGTTGCACGCTGCGAGGAGGACTGTGGGGAGGGAGGCTGTACCGGAGGGGCTACCGAAGGAGGAGGGGTAGCCTGGGACACACCTGACGGGGCTGGACCAGGGGGGGAGGCTGCACTGGGGGAGCAGGAGTGGGAGCGGCAGTCAGGATGAGGGGGGGAGGAGGAACTGGGAGACCTCGACTGGGGTACCTGACGTAGTACGGGGTGGACTCCTCGAAACGGACGTCACGGGAGTCAAAGAACCGGTGAGAGGGAGGGTGGTAAAAGGTGAAGTCAGAGGAGGCCTCAGGAAAACCAAGGAAGACACAAGGAACGGCGCGAGGCGAGAGCTTGTCCGCAGAGGTGTCGCGGACAAGAGCCAAGCAACCCCAGACACGAAACCTCGACGCAACACCAGGGGACCCGGTCCAAAGACTGGTCGGCGAAGCCTCTGGCCGAGAGACGCGTGGCCAGAGGTTCAGCTGGTGCGCGGCGTACCGAACCGCGTAAGGCCACAGAAAATGGGGGGCACGGGCGTGAGTCAGGGAGGTGCGGGCAATCTCCATGACCAAGCCTATGCGGCGCTCAGCAACCCCATTCTGCTGTGGGGACTCTGGAAGCGTCCAGGACTGACGAATGCCCTGCTCGCGACAGAATCCAGCGAGAATGCCGGAGCGAAACTCACCCCCGCGGTCGGAGTGAAGACAGCTGACACGATGGCCACGAGTGTC